GGTCACAGTGAGGTCAGCAGGTTAAAAAACACAAAACCTCACTAACTACATCAAGACACGCGAGCCAAAATCACAGTTACACTTCCCTCCTGGACCTGAACTCAAAGCACTCAAAATGACAACACAAGCTGGGAGCAGAGAGAGAAATCATATGGGGGAAAAAACAGAGGAGGCGGAGCACAAACTCAATTCCTCAAAGGTGCTGTAAAAAGCCAGAAGGCCTGAACCAAAACACACATGAAAAATGACTTGCCATGAGAACAGCATAAAAACAGCTGCGGTCTCCTGCTCTCATGCTTGGTGACCTCCATAGTGAGCCACTGTAGGCAACTAATCAGCAGGCTGTGCTACAATCAGTATTTTGATATTGACCGTGACATTCTCAATAATGTATATTTTGCATCATGACATGTCATCCAGACTAGAGGTAGCAAACTCATTTCAGGTTGAGGGCCGTGTAGGGGGAAAACATGTGGGCCAAATTACTTCCCTCTAAGCTGCTCATGTACATGGCGGTGTACTTTTGAAGTTATTCCTGCACAGACAGACTTCACAGAAACAGACTCAAAATATGTGGTGGAAAAAAGTTAGACATTTCTTAAAGCAGACAAATTAAATGCATATCAATTTTTTCAGTAAAGGTTTGAAGTTGAGAGAAATTATTAATTCATGACAGAATTAATTCATGAATAGTACTAATTCATAGTCATGCATACAAAAGCTGCTATACTTTCCATCCACAAAGTTATCTTGTCCTTACAGCTGAAATACAGGCGTGCTTATATTCAAAACAACAACACTCTTGCTTGTGTGATATTGCTTAATTATAGATCATTTGTGGGGTTGTCACTAATAATTATATTGGTAATTTAGTAAGCTGACAATTATATGTTGATGACTGATAGGTTTTTGCAAAAATTCATAAAAATAGACTTGAATGGGTGTGTTAAATGTCAAAATTGAAACCATCATATCATAATTTGATCGAAACTTACTTACAAAAGTGAAAATACAGCCTTAATTTCAACGTCACTCCAGTCACACAGAAGCCACACTGCTTTTTTTTTTTTTTTTTTAAATGAGTACTCCTAATTTAATTGAGTAATTGAAACTGTCTTATTAATCATGTATCATTTATTCACCCATTTCACTATTTGTTGCGGAGGCTCTGTTACCGGAACCGAAATCACTCGCGGGTCAAATCACTCGACTCACACACACTCTCTTGCATTCCTGACCTGCGGGTGTCGCTGTTGGACAGTATTATTCCTGCTTCCTGTTTGCAGTGCTGCTGGTTTGTGATTGTAGCTTCGTGTAGCTCTGTTTTTCTGTAAAATCTCTATTACTCTCTGTTGTTTAAAGTGATAAAATATAACTTAATTCCCACCATATTTCTGATATTATCCATCAACCTAATCTGATTAATTTGATCGTTCGCTTTTATTCTAAAACCACGAGTGCAGCGCATCCTAAATCTGTAAGTTTCCACCCACGGCGCCGTCATTTTGATTTCGCAAGCTACAACGGTGTACCAGCTCTAATGCCATGGCGAAAGTTTGAGCAAAACATGCTAACTCTTCTGTCTTTGGCTGCACAGACGAGCACAGAACACTAGATGGTAATACAAACACAGAAAGCGTCATGTCCGAGAAATTAGTCAACCTGTCAGTCATCAGTTCTAAAGTCCTATTTAGAGTTCCAGCCTCAGAGGAGACAAGAGAGCAGTGGATTTATTGGTTTATTTACTGTAACGTAGGGCTGTCGCGATAACCGCAATACCGCGCTATTGACGAGCAAACCGCAGAAGAATGCAAGAACCGCAGCACACCAGAGACTTATATTACATATTGTAAAAAGGGGCATAATATGTCTCCTTTAAGAAAATACAAATATTAGAGGGAATTGATCGCTTTGATCCAACACAGGGACTTAAAACTGTTACTATGTTGCATTTTCTTCTTGGTTTACAAGGCAACATCAAGAAGTTTTCTTCTTGGTTTACAAGGCATTATATTATATTATATATATATATATATATATATATAATATAATATAATATAATATAATACATACGTAATATAATTATATTACATTTCCAATATATTGATATAGGATTTCCCTTCAATTGGAGGAACCCATCCAAGCATATTCAAAATGTACAAATCAAGTAAAACGCAGTAAAATTCTAGTTTAAAATGATCAAGGCATGTTTGGCATAGGTAAGATTTTTTTTTAAGAAGTCTCTTATATTCAGGCTATATTTATTTGACCAAAAATACAGTAAAACAGTAATACTGTAACATTTAAAATACCAGTTTTCTATTTCAGAATATTTAAAATGTAATTTCTGTCTTTCTCATTTTTAGCAGCCATTACTGCAGTCTTCAGTGTCACATGATCCTTCAGAAATCATTCTAATATGCTGATTTGGTGCACAATTTGGTGCTTATTTAGCATATTATTATCAATATTAAAAATATTAAGCGGTAGTTCTGCGTAATATTTTTGTGGAAATCGTGATAAATTTTTTCAGGATTCTTTAATGAATAGTGTGTTCAAAATTATTGAATATTATCACCCAGCCCTACTAGTTATCCAACAACTTTTGAAATACTCTAAATCTATCAACGCTCTAATAAATGCATAAAATTGCTGCAAAGACAGCCAGGCCTTCAAGCAAAGGAAACAAGACTTCACCTGTAAGTCACCCAGGTTGATGTATAAATGGTTGGCTACACAAACGGCGGGACAGCAGAGTCACAACGCTACCTCCCTGTCATGTCTGTGACAGCTGCAAACGTCCACCAGTTGATCGACTGAATAACCTCATTCTGAGATGCCTCCAAACACAGATGAACTCAGCTGAAAGAAAGAGCAAGGGACTACAGGATAGGGAAGGGTCATTTCTAACAGAAGAGCAGGGCTTGAATTTCGGCGCGGGATTGCGGGGATTGCGCATAATTCTACTGATTCCCACAGTTTCCGCACATGTAACACGGGAAATTCCCGCAAATATTTCAATTTGAAAGACGCTCGCGACAGATGACGGAATGTATTATTTGCACGTGCTTTTGAGTCTTACAATTTTAAACATTCAAGTGCTCAATTCAGTACTTGCGCGCTCTGTGACTGCGAATGTGTAACAGTTTGATCCGTGCATGAGGTCTTAAAGAGACAAGCAACCTAAATAAACCTGCTGCTGTCTGTCATTAATGTTTATTTATACATTGAAGACTAATCAGTGTTATTTTAAAGTTAAATAGATTCTGTTTCTGTGGTATTTCTGTACCTGAATATTACTGTTAAACTTACCTGAAAAACTTAAAGCACAGTTCATTTTAGTTGTATCTTGTTATTGTATTTGTTTGTGCCATTGCTTGTCATTAATCTATTCTTACTTTATTACTTACTGTCTACTTGTCTTTTTTAGTTAAAATAAATTCAATTCAGAGTTTTAAAGTTTTTTTAAGTATCTTCCTCACAATATAAACATGAATCAACAACATTATATCTTGTAAAACACAAATGCACTGGGTGACGAAACATTTAGGTTGGATGATTGTAGTTTAAAAATATGTCTAAAAAATACCCTAACTCCCCCCTCAAATTAAAAAATCCCCCCCAATAAGAGCCACCTAAAGGGGGAATTCCCCCCCATTTTCCAAAACGAAATTCAGGCCCTGAAGAGGTAGAGAGAACAGTTCTCTAATTGGAGATTCTGGCCAAAATCTCTAAACAATGGCGCCTCAAAACAGCAAGCAATAAGGGTTTGGATTCAAGAGAGAAGAGTGCCAGCCAGGACGGCACCCTGCTGGGTAAAAGGACGGCCAGCGACTGACTGATCCCACAATAATCAGAAGCGACAAAAGAACCATTTGGTACTACTGACACTACATGACACTCCACTATGAAGGATTAATGTTTTGATGGTCCATGCATGCAAAGCCTCCCTTCATCCCGGACAATGCAGCCTGCTGGTATTTCGAGAAGGAGAGAGGAAAAAGAGAGTTTGTCCTAGTATGTTCTCAAAAAGACATGATAGTTCAATGGGTCTATATTAGGGGTGGGACAAAATATCGATATGGCTATATATCTTTGTCCTTCTCCATGCGATAAGAGAAATATCTGGAACAAAATATAGATATTTTTATTAATACAACAAGGCGCTCTAAATAGATTTCCCTGCACCCAGCATCTAAAAATGTGTGGAAATCACAGTCGCGCTATTTTCAATTTCTTTCCAAAGCGCTCTGAGCCACCATAAACCGCATTCTCTATGAAGATGGGGAAGCATGAGGAACCGAAGGATAAACAGATTTCCAGCCACTGTATTAGCTCTACTGCTATGTTTAAGGGGATAAGAACTAAAAAACTGCCACGGAGCAGCTATCAGCATGGACCTCTCTCTCCGATATTACAAGTGCGTGTTATGCAGTGGGCAAGTCAATAAGCAGTTAAATGTGTTGATTAATACACAAAGTGTAAGCTTTTAATAAGTCCAAGAAAAAAATTATTAACTTACTTAACGTTAAATTTGATTTACAGAACATTTTGTGCTGTTTTCTAACAGTTCGGACTTGAATAAAGAGAGAAAACTTGCACTTAACCTTTTCACAGGCATTTTGTTTTCATAGTTAGACAGACATCGTGATGTATCGTTATAGGATTGTCTAGCAATATATCGATTATTGCAATAATTGCTGTATCGTGATATTATCGTATCGTGAGCCATGTATCGTGATTAGTATCGTATTGTGAGGTACCCTGTGATTCTCACCCCTAGTCTATATGCACAACATTTTCACAAAACAATATGCTTCACAATCCAAATAAAATCCTAAACGCAAGCATGATTAATGCTCAGCTCTTTATAAAAGCTATGAATTCTGCTAGAGACAGGTAAAGCAAGTACATTGAGCTCAGAGTCATGTGAAACAGCTAAACATTAATTGACAAATCCTACATACATATACAATTCTATATACATGTAGAAAACCCACCCGAGACTGAATTTCTCACAATGACAGAGGTACAGTGTGGGCTGTGAAATGAAGAGGCTCTGGAAGAACATGAGTTTCCATTGTCAAATGGTCCGGAGCAGCAACCTATTAAAACAAGAAACGCTTTATAAGATTATAGTGCTCAGAACAGCACAGTAACAATCACATTCACTACACTCAACAGGGTTTACTGGCGTGATCTTTATAGCCCTTCAGTGACCTTATCAAAGACATTAATGAAAATCTTATTTTCATGAATCAGTTTTCATGTATTGTTTTTCCCAGACAGTGTTGTACTTAGCATGCAATGTTTGTTCTAGATGCCTGTTCCGTAAATTAAAAATAAGAGCACAAGCTAAGAACTTTTGCCATTGAAGACTTGAATAATTGTCACAAGTTGTCTGGGTAAGTACTGTTTGTTAACTCAAACGAAAAATAAAAAAATGAATAAATAAAATAAAATGAAAATAAAAAAATAAAAAAAATAAGTAAAAAAAGTGAGTGTGTGACTTGCAGTTTGCAGTTTAATATAATTACTCTACGTGCTTCCTGAGTTTGTGTTTATGGTTTTGTGGCATTCAGCACTCAGCACTCATGTTGTTTTTGAAAAACTCGGATTGGCATGTAGCAATCAGTTTCATTTCACAGAAGTAAATCTTCTCAGGTTTGGCAAGGGATAGTAGAAAGGAAACAGCCCAAGCTAACCACAGTAACAAGGCCTGCCTCTGTTAGCAATGCAAAAATTCTCAATGCTCAATCAAATCCCACGCTTTGTGTGTTGTTGTTGTTTCAATACATTTCTCAAACGATTAGCACATTGAATTATTCTCCCCCATAATCGGTTCTTGGAACATTTTCAAAGCACATGGCATAACCCAGTTTGGTACAGTGTAAACAACCAAATGCATGCCAGATTATGCCCATCAATTACTCACTCATCACATCCAATTAAAACATCTGGGATTAAGGGATTCATGATTATGATCTTAATCAATCCAAATAAAGCAGGTGACGCCTGATGACCAAACAGCACAAATACACCATCAATCAAATATTAATCACATGTGATGCAAATCCTTCAAATCCCTGGAAAATTAAGAAATGAAGAAGTTTCATGAAGACATAGAAAATACGACTTTTCCTGTTGTCACTCTCCACAACCTTGAATCTGCAATAAATACAGTGCTCATTAATACAAGAGCTCATTAAACTTGGAAATGTATGCTTTAACTCTCAACATCAGAGAACAGCAGTCTCTACAGGTGCACAATCTGTAAATGTAAATCATGCCAAAAAAGCCCAGAGCCTGAATCGTGGTCCCTTGCTCACCTCACTATGTGCACACATTCACACAAATTAGACTTTGTTCAATGAGCACTCTGCATTTCTATAAGAGCCCAGCAAGTCCCATTTGTTTACATGGGACTAATTAAGTGTGCTTTAATGGAGGAGCAAAAGTGCCAACAATGAGCCCCTGTGTTGGGAATGAGGGAACGTCTCAGGTTCTGTTCGTCAGTCCTGCATTACACATCACAGCCATTACAAAAACATAAACGGTCAACATTAAAGCAAAAACGACCACTGCGAACAATTCATTGGTAGGGTTAGATTAGAGAAGATGCTCTCCTTAAGTAACAACAGAATGATGATGTATCTTCTAAATTATTAATCAAGAAATTAAATGGAAACATTTGTAAATTTGGATAGGCCTACATCACAAAATTAAAAATGATGAAAGGGAGTCAACTCAACTGTGGGTGAAACTGTGGGTTTACCCAGCTGTCATTTGATTTTTGCATAATGTTAAAAATGTTTTATATTATTAATGGTTATAATTAAATAATAAAAATATTTTTTTTAAATACAAACAATACTTGCTACCAAATCTTAATGAAAGACTAAGTTCACAAATTGAAAAAATAAACAAAAACATTATCCAACATTAACACAATTATCCAAAAAATTTACCATTTACACTCAAAACTACACAGATGGAAATAAATCCCACAAATGTTTAGCTGAAAGTCAAGATTAGTGAGAGCATAACCATTCAATAAATGAGAGAAGATATAAGGTGGGGGCATTTTGCCCTGAATGTTATTCCAAAGACAAAAAAAATCTTTATACTTTATGACTTTTCTATTAGCATGATGTCAACAAGCTTTTATTTTTTTAACCTCTAACAGCAAAAACACCTGTCATACACAGCCCTCTTTTATCATCCAATCATATCACAGTGGATAAAATAAGTCACATTACGCAAGTAAAATGCACTACGAGTGCCATTTCTGGTTGACTTTAACAAGCTGAGCAGACAAAGACAATACATCTGCCCTTGTTATCTTTTTATAACACAAGAACTTTAATAATGTCAAGACTGTTTACAGTGGACAAAGCAAAGGTTTCATCTTTGAGCGATAAGGATCTTAAACAGTCGAGCATGTTATGAGTGTTTCTCTTCATTTGCAAAGCAACAGAAGTTGAGCAGTTTATTCCGCCAAGAGGCATTGAGACAGTATCTTGTCATTGGCTAATAGCATCTCTCATCTCATCCGTCTGCCAACTGGAATTTCTGCTTGTGTTTGGTGATAGTCCAGACCAAGAAGCAGAGCTCGTTCCAAAACGATATCCATGTGGGGCATAGAATACAATCGTATTACCAAAAGACTATGAGCTGTGCATGAGTCTGCATTGGCTTAAATACTAAAACAGACGAAAAGGGAAATAAAAAAACCTGCGGTGTCTAAATTACGCACGCAGAGCGGAGAGACGCAAAAACGGTGGTGAATTTTCTCAGAGGAGTGGCTAATTCTTGCACACAAATGCTTGTTTTGTGCTTCTGATGGCAGTGTAATAAAACATGCATGCTACTCAACAGAGAGGAAGAGGCCAGTGAACACAGAAGCTCATCACACTTTTCTCCCTCCTGTGGAGTGCTGCGAGGGAGAAAGAGAGCGAGACGGAGAGAGAGCATAAGTGGGAGAGCGAGCTGTGACTGCTTGTTGCAGATCCGGCTGTTTATCCGCCAGCCTGCCTCCACACTGCGCTCATTCAGTCTGAAACAAAGCTCTGCTAGGACACGCACTACAAAACAGGAACACCAGAGAGAAGAACAGAAATGGACAAAGAGAGAACGGACAGAGAGGGCTAAAAGACAGAGACACTGTACCTAAACAGAAGCAAACGCAGCTCTAAAGGAAACCAGCAGCGAAAAAGAAAAGAGAAACAACATGCAACATTCTCAAATGTTTCAAAAGCAAGTACACTGAGTTACTCAGTCACACTGAGTCATTCTGGCTAAAGCAAGTGTGTTTGCTTGGCCCAGACACTTCAGGTAATGAGGTTGGAAGTCTCAGAGGACGTGTTCTGTCATCGGCTATGGAATGACCACCAAACTCAGCATCGATCCAGCAGGGAAGCTGTGCACTGACAAAACAGGAGTAAAAGCATTATGAAATTGCTTGACAACAACATGGGACACTAGCAGATTAACACAATACCAAACAGTTATTCCTGGGAAATATGTGGTCAGAGTAAAAAAAAAAATAGCCCAATTTTTTTCTGAATAAATTGACAGCAAGTGGAAGACAGGGCTCCACAAAGACTTTCAGGCCAGTTACAATAAGTCTATTTATTAATATAAATACATGTCTCTCGCCTTTTTGGCACATCAGCAGAATCTGCAGCAATTTTACCCAGCAGGCTTACATAGACGGATTTATTGAAATGACAAAAAAGACTTGAAAGCATGTGTTGAAAACTACAAACCATTACTGAGTTCATAAACATGTTTTTAATCATGTAGTTACATTACAGTTCTATAATTTCCATCTTTTTTAGCTTTACAATATTAAAAGTATTTTTAAATGGAACACATGAATATTCATAGATTTTTAAAAAAATATTATTTTGTGGTGGAGCTAGTAAAAATGTTGGCAGGTCACATAAAAAAATCCAAACTATTGGCCCAACTAGGGCTGCAAGAAGTGATCCACAAAAGCCCAAGTGGATCCATTGTCAGAATGAAGAATTAAATATATGTTAAACAGTACTACTTCGTTTCAATTAAAATAAACAGTGCAGTACTTTGAACAGAATAGACAGCATCTCTGAAGGACACCTCTGAAGGAGAATACTTCAATGCAAGTAGCAAAAAGCAACATACAACAAAGGTTTATTGCCAGTAAGTGCGCCATGTTATGTGAAGCAAAAGCAAAAAATGAACAGCACTGTTGCCATGTGGCTGTGGATTCGCAACCCTCAATGCAAGCAAATTACTTGCATATGCGACTACATTTTCATGCTAGGCAACTATATTTTCTCTATCGTTGGCTATTCGCTGCTAAATTGTTAGATTTCATTTGCCAGTGTTTGAGTTGGAGGCTAAGAATAAGGTTAGCACTGATATACTTTTGCTCACCTATTGCACACTCGGACTGAGCCCTCGATAGTTTCATTCTCTGTATTTAAAGCATATTATTCCTATTTGTTTTTATAGCCATAACTTTAGAGGATTTGTTTTGGAGAGAAACTAATAACTGTTTATAATGTTTGTAAACATTTTGCTTTAGCCTACATTATTTCTGAATGTAATAGGGCTAATAAAATGCGACGTGAGCCTATACGCAACCCTCTACACACACCTTGGCAATATAATCGCAATTGGGTAGTAAATTTTTTTGTTTACTCGCCAGACTGATATACTATTTCACACACACACGTTTACTTAGCTATCTAAATGGGGACATTACATAGACTTCTATTGTTTTTATATACAGATAG